TGGCCCATAAGGGAATCGCACTGGCGGCCCTGTTGCTCAGAGCTCACGCTCTTAAGCCAACTCTTAACCACTGAGCCACTCAGCCGGCCCCTCTGTTCCTTTTTTTATTGGAGTATTTTGCTAATGCTTCTCCCTTACCCCTTTCTCTCCCCTCTGAGAGAGAAAAGACCACGTGGTATTTTGCAATTGCTATTGCAATTCCATTCTATCAAAACAAAAACAACGCACAACGCCACCAGTCTGTTCTAGGCCCTTAGCATTGAATCCCAGCCTGCCGGGCATTAGGAATTAGTGTCATATTGTGAACTCCATGCAGACTGGGGCCATGCCTGCTAACCCTGTGCCTCCCCCCAAAGTGCCTAGTATAGCCCTTAGACACAATGGCTGCTCAATAGTTATGCACTAAATGAAGTTACCTGGCAAATTCAGCAGGAAAAAAAAATCACTTAAGCCAGTTATTTGACTGTATTGACCAGGCAATGAAGTCAAAGTAATTGATCTGGTAGTCCCAACAGACAGTCTCATTCTGCATATAGTTATCTTTGAAGTCAAGAGGGCATTGTGCGTGTGATATATTTTAATGTGGGATTCTGAGTGAAGAGGGATCATATTATCAGAGGTGAAATGAAAGCATGTCTGCCTTATTCTGGAATCTGTATGTAAACACAGAACCCATTTTTTTCATCTGATCCTGCTTATCCTGCTTATTATGCAGATCATCTGTTATATAACTTTATAGGTTGGGCCTTGGGTTTCTGTTTTTATTCTAAAAAAGTATGACATGACACACTCTCTATTTTACTCAGCATTTCAGCATACATATCCAATATGAAATACCAGAGATGATAGATATTATAAATAAAAACATGAATAGAAGAATAGTCCACTCGGGCTGAACTCATTCCTTCCATGACTGCTCATTAATCCTGTTCTAACCCTTACTCCACTGTGGTAAAAGCATTTTAAAAGTTACATGTAAGACCACTTCAGTGAAATGTCACTGTCTACAACTGTCAGACTTGCCCATTTGTCACATTAAGGAATACTGTAAGGGAATATTCAGGGGAAAAAGGACTTAAACTTTCATTGAATAGCCCACAAATCACAGCATGAATGATGTCATGGATCAGTGCTTGAATCCTCCCTTAAAATTCATGTTGTGAAACCCTAACCGCTATGGTGATGGTTATTTAAAGATAGACCTTTGGGGTTCAATGAGGTCATGATGGTGGGGCCCTCATGATGGGGTTAGTGCCCTTATAAGAGGCACCAGAGAGCTTACTCTGTCTCTCTCTCCTCAACTGTGAGCACAAAGGAGTCATGTCAGCACACAGCAAGATGACCTAGAAGCCAAGAGAAGAGGCCTCCGAGTAAAACCTGCCTTCCCGACATCTTCATCTTGGACTTGCAGGCCTCCAGGGCTGTGAGAAAGACATTTCTTTTGTTTATGGTGTTTTGTTAGAGCAGTCCAGGATGACGAGGACAAACAGTAACAGGGCA